GTATCTTAGATGGCCGCTCATAGGCTTTTAAGACCCCAGACACTACTCACCAAGGTAGAATGTAGAGCATTGTCTTTATAAGCTGTGTCATGCCAATTAAGCTAGATGTTCCCCGAAACCATGGTCCCCAGAGCCCTCTGCCCAGCAATTCAGTCCCTCAGGGAGTTTGGATGTGAGGATTTTCTTTTGAGAGTCAGCTGGTTATTTTTGTATCTGTTGGTTTTGTTTTCCAGCGGTGTCCTTGGCTCTTGCTTTGAATGGAGTCTGCACAAACACTATTAAATTAATAGTGGGAAGGTAAGTTCTAAAAAGAAGCAAATGGTGACTTAGACTGTCAAGGTCGTCTGTGTGGGAACTTTGCATAGTGATCAATTGCTTAGACTCTGGCCAGAGGACACTGGAGGGGACAGATTTGGGCATTTATAGTTTCCCTTAAACTGTTGTCCTGGGATTGGTGACCTTAGCACAGATCTTCCCTCTCCTTTGAATTATGAACTCACCATTATGGAAAGCAAGAGGTGATAGTCAGGAAGCATCTACTGACCATTTCTCTGGTGGACCATTTGGTAACCTGGTGACCACTGGTGTTACCAGGCCCGTCCACTGCTGCCCAGGTCCTCACCTGACACTCACTCGTCAGTTTGGGCCTCTAATAAACAAGTAAGATTATATATTTATTGTCCTCTTCAGGATGAGAAGTAGAGCTTTGCATTTGAACCTCAGTTAACAACATACTTCTTTTATTCTCTTCTCCTCGTATCTTGCCTCCTCCCCGACTGCCCTGGTAGTGAGCCAGTCCCACAGGGATTAGTAGTCAGAAGACCTCGGTTCCAAACTGACACTGACCCTGACTAGTAGCTCCCTTGGATAAGTTAGATCCCCTCGCAGGAGCTCAGCATTTATTGAGGATCTACTTGGTGCAGGGTGCTGGCCAGGCGCCCAGGGGGTGAGAGATGGACAGATACTGGGGAATGCGTGACCCAGTGCTGTGTGTTACCACCAGGGCCTGAGAAAATGCTGAGTCTCAGGCCTCGGCCCTGTGAGGTTCTGGTGCAGTAGGTGGACAGCAGCATGTGGAGAAAAACTGGCCAGATGGGAGAGACGGGACACAAGTGTCTCTGATAGATGAACAAGGGCCCTACCCAGATCCCCTACCTAGATCCCCAAGCTGGGAGACCAGGCGACCCAGTATGTGCAGACAAGGGCTCAGCAGGCATTCGGCACACATTTGTTGAATCGATGTGACCTGATCAGCCCTCACACATCTATGCGAGAATACTCCCTGGGGTGACATAGAAGTGTGAGGTGAAGTGTGGGTGTGAGAATCTGCTTGCTGGGGCGCAGAGCTTGCCTTTGCTCCTTATTGGTTGTGTGTGACCCTGGGGAGGAACTTCATCTTTCTAAGCCTTCCCTTCTCACCTGTAAAGGGACCGCCTCAGGGTTGTCTAAGAAACAAATGATATGATGCAGGTGGAGTGCTTAGCACTGGATCTGAGATCCGGGGAGTCCTCAATGAATGTTATCCGTGATTGCTGTGGGAAGCTCACTTTAGGGGCGGCTTCCATCCCACTTCCTCTGGAGCTCTCTCCCACCACCCAGACCAGAGATGCCCACCTGAGCTTTCACGTCCTCTTCGTGAGGTTAAATGAGTTCTGCTATTTGAGAAAGGGCAGTCAGCCACCCAGATTCAGGATATAGGGATATGGGGAGGCTAGAGTCTTGGATCCTGGAAGCAGCTCCTGAATTGGCAGAGCATTAGATGGGCCAGGAGCTACCCTTTACTCTGCCGGCCCTCTGCTTAGGTGCCTCCTGTAAGGCATCGCATTTAATCCTTGGGACCTCACCTTTGGGTAGATGTTGATTGCCGCCTTTTACAGATGTGGAAACTGAGGCTTGGGGGAGTGACCTTCCCAAGGTCACAGACTAGTAAGCGAAAGAGCTGGGGTTCCAATTCAAATATTTCCGTCACCGAAGCCTGAGCCTTCCCTAAGCCCACCGTGTCTGGAGTATTCCATGGGAAGCCCCTCTTTTGATGGCAGAGGAGGCTTGAAGAAGCAGGTGGGGGCAGCAGGGAGTGGTGGGACAGCTTGGGGTTCATTTGCAATGGCAGCATTTTATAGTGAATATGTCCATGGTGTCTTTTGTAGACCTCGCCCCGATTTCTTTTACCGCTGCTTTCCAGATGGAGTGATGAACTCGGAAATGCACTGCACAGGTGACCCTGACCTGGTGTCCGAGGGCCGCAAAAGCTTCCCCAGCATCCATTCCTCCTGTAAGTTCAGTGGCTGGGATGTTCGTCAGTTCCTGGGGCCATGTTTTCTGATTGCTTTCTTTGGGAGTTTAGGTGGAGAGAAAAGTGTTGGTGTATGAGTGCTGAGCACAGTTCATTCTTCTTCGCTGTAGAGTGGTTGGCTTAGAGACAGGGTATTTGACAGGTGGGAATAAGCCTGGGGAGGAGGCTTTGGAGTTTACAGAACATTGTACACATTGTTTTCATGCACTTGGCAGAGTGCACCGTGTGGCACTTCACCCTTTAGCATGTGATTGAGAAACTAGAACAATCCAAGGGGATTTGCCCGTGTTCCCTGGGACCTGATGTGCTTTTCAGTTCAGTGTTCACTCAAGTTTATTCCTTCAATTAAGGTGTTTTGTCATATACACATATATACACACGCACAGACACCAGTGTATAGTTTGATTATGGTTATGTGAGTTGGCACCAGCCTTAATGCAAAGACTGAATGGTATGAATCAGGAGCAGTGTGGTGTAGTGGAAAGAACACAAGTCTTAGAGTGTTACAAACATGGGTTCAAATCCTGACTCTGCCACCTGTTAGCTCTGTGATTTACCCTCTCTGTGTCTCAGTTCGTCTGTGTAAAATAGGGATACTTGTCCTCCATTATAGTGTTGGAGTGGTGATTAAAATAAAGGACGATTGTCACCAACATTTCTGGAGCGTCCACCATGCCAAAATGTTTCAGTCCATTATCTTATTTAGTCTTCTCAATATATGTAAAGCACTCATAGTGTCTGAGTGCTATACGGTAGACTTTAAATAAACAGTAGTTATGCGTATGGTTATTTAACAGAGATGAAGTTTCCAGAATATTCCGGTTCTCATCTTCATTCAATCCATAGATGTTTATGGAGTGACTTAGGTGCCAGGCACTCTGTCTGGTGTTGGGGACATGAAGATAAATAGCTGAAGCTCTGGGGAGTGCCCAGCTCATGGCAGAAGGCACATCTAGGTTGGCTGTTCTTGGGATTCGTGCAGAAGAACCATGGCCACAGGTCACTGCTTGGGAGAGGACAGGATGCCTTCATGATCCCAAGTCCTCACTGCCCCACACATTTAGTTGTCATTTCCTGTTGGCTAGCCTGATACCTCAATCTTTTTTTCTTTTTATAAATACTTAAGGCACACCTTAATAGTGATTTGATCAAGGAGTAACTGGATGCTCTTTCCTGGAAGTGTTTGTTGGACATTTTGCTCAAAGCCATTGGAAGCAAGGGCTTGTCACCCACAAGATGTTGGAGTGCCCAGGCACTCTAAATGCACCACCGTTAGCCCACACAACAATCCTGCAATGTACGGGCGGTTCCCATTTTACATACGAGGACACTGAGGCTCCATCAGACTCTAGGAGCTTGTCCAAGGACACTTAGCTCATCTTCATGCCGGCCTCTGACATGATCGTGTCACAGGGCTTTTGATGATCAAATGCAACCAAGTCTTAGAGGCCATGTTGATTTAAATAAACGACCCACTTTCTCCTCTGGTTTGTTGGAGGTGTAAGATGGAACCTTTAACACTTAGTGGGAAGGATTTGCCTTCAGAGTCCTGAGGGAGTCTGAGAGAAAGCAGATTACTGTGTGTGCTTCTTTAAAATGCCCTCTGAGGTTAAATGTGGCAGGGAGCTCACCAGTGCATGAAGATGTAGCATTCGGGGTTCTTCTGGGAGCTTCCACCACTCCAGGTACTTAAGGCAGCACATCCATTTGGAATTGCTTTTTTCTCTCTGAAATCATGTTTTAAGTGAGTTGTCTGTTCTAGAGGGGATAGAAGGTCCTGGCTGGAGAAATTCTTGCTGTATGGAGTTACTGTTGCCTATTGTCAGGGATCTCCATGCAGGCAATGTTTAGAGGTACCTGAAGTTGTATCCATCTGGGATCTGCTCCCATCAGCTCTCCTTCTGTCTCCTTTCTGGGTGAGTCAAGTTTTCAGCTTTTATAGTGTGTGCTGTCCTCCCAAAGACTTGATGCTGAGTTTCAAGGAGCTTCAAAAATTAAAAGTTAGAAATTACAGCTTATGGGAAAACCTTAATCCTGGCCTTTGGAATGGTTGACTGAGGACCGTAACACAATTTAATATCTACTCTTGCATTTGAGCTTGAGAAGGAAATAGCTCTCGTGTGAATATATCAAGCTGGCAAGCTGCTGATCCAGAGAGATTAGAGGCCAGGCCCTACAAAAATGTTTATTTTTGATGTGCACCCCCTCCCCACAGCCCAGTGCGTTTCTGGCAGGGCTGCCCCCATTGGCCTTGTCAAAGGCGTAGCTGACATCTGATTCGTGCTAGACAAGCTTTTTGACAGGAGCTTTTATTATCTTTTGCTTAAGATACTACTTAACATGTTAACCATTTTTATTGGCAGACCCAGCATCCTACCAGCCTCTAGGCTTTGATGATGGTATTTCCATCTGCTCTCTTTCCCCTCTTTATGACAGGGCAGTGATTAGCTCGAGGGGTGCTGGCATGTCCACTTAGAAAAACCATTGGTGCTGTTTTCTGGATTTCTTATTGTAGCTAGTTAGGAAGCCTAGTGGTTGGCCTGACCCTTTGCTCCTCAGAGGGAGTGATCTCAGTGAACTCCTATGTTAATACAATTGTTCTCTCTTTAAAAAAGTCAATTTTCTAGACTGGACTTGAGAGACCAGACAGAAGAATTCTGGACCAAGGGATCTCCTAGGACCAGTTCCCCACACTAGGCGAACATGGTTGTTGCCTTGCTCTGGTTACAGATAATTGACACCTGGGATACAGTCAGTGTCCTCATATCGTCCTGCAGGATAGTTGTTTTTCTTTGAACTTAAGAACAAACATTGATTTCTTTTGGAAACAAAGTGTCTTGCCCTTCATTTGCCATAAACAGCCAAACGACATTCACCTGAACAACTCATGTGGCAAATTGTTGGCAAACAGCATGTCCCTGTGGCTGCGTTCTTATAAGACTTGCTCTCTAAGGCAGCCTTAGCCACTCTCGATTGGAAAAGCAGAGATTACAGTTTCTTAGAGCGAGTGATTTCCTTCAGCATTAGGAGAAGCTTGGGTTTAAAGTGGAGACAAGCACTGTAGCTTCCCCAGAGTGCTGAAAGCAGGGATACTCTGAAAAGGGGATGGCCTTTCATAGCGTAAGCTCTAAGCTGTATTTTTGATTGGGTCTTGATTTGATTTCCAGAAAGAGAATAGATTTCAGAGGGAAATATAGAAAATAAAATTATTAATACCGAATCAGATATAAATTTCTGTCCTGTAAAATTGGTGGGGATGGATAAAATGATAGTGTTGTTCATGGGGTGGCAGACTATAGCCTATGGGCCAAAGCTGGTGGCTGCCTGTTTTGGTAAATAAAGTTTTATTGGAAAGCAGCCATGCCCATTCATTTACGAATCGTCTGTGGAGGTTTTTGCTTCGCAGTGGCAGAGTTGAGTAGTTGCAAAAGAGACATGTGACCTGCAAAGCTGGAAATATTTACTATCTTGCCCTTTACGGAGGAAATTTGCCAACCCCTGCTGTTGCCCATACTCCAAACAATATAGTATTAAAAAGCATTTCTGAGGCAAGACCAAAGCCCTTCAATTGTGCATGTGGATGTTACCTTTTTAAACAACTCCATTGTAGTATAAAAAGGGGACCTTTGCGGGATAGTTATTGCCTGTGGGATACATTGTTGAATGACAGAGAAGGTTGAAATGGCTTATCTGGCTGGTGATGATTCAGCAGACTCCTATTGAGCACTTACTGTTCAGTATGTACTAGGCTAGGACTTGGGGAGGGTACAAGGACAATCAAACTTGGCCCGTAGCCTCCTTGAGGACAAGGGAAAATACCAGTGTTGTAGGAGAGAGGAGAGATAAGATTACCAGTCAGGGGATGGGAGAAGGCTCTGTTGAGGAAAAGCACCTTCTTATATAGCTTGCGTTGAATGAGTACGTAGACATTACATGTTTGGAGACTTTTTGTGTTTGAAAATGTCTTGATTCACTCGCTGGGTATAGAATTCTAGGCTGAAAATCATTTCCACACAGAATTCTAGTTGGCACTGATAGCATGCCTTTTCTTTGTTTTGTTTTCTCTTTCTAGAACCTTTTAGGATCCTTTCTGTGTCTCTGGTTCTCTGAAGTTCCACAATGATGTGTCATACTGGGATTCTTTTTTTTTTGGTATTCATTGTTCTGGCCACTCAGTGGGTCCTGGAACTTCATGTTCTTCCCCTCTGTATTCTCTATTCTTTCTCTCGGGAACGCCTGTTAGGCAAATATTGAGTCTCCTGGATCAATCTTTTTATTATCTTTTCTTCTCTATAATCTTTCTTTTTTTTTAATGTCTGTCTGGGAGATTTTCTTAATTTTATCTACCCACCCTTCCGTTGAATTTTCATATTTTTCATTTCTAAGATTTCTTTCCTGAACTCTGATTTTTTTTTTTTTTTTTAAGTTAATACTGTTCTGTCCCCATGCTCCCCATGGATGCCATATCTCTTACCTCCCTTTGTTTGTAGATCTCATCTGCTCCCTGCCATCTGCACCCTCCCTTCTCTTCATTTTTTGTGTTTTGATATCTACTTTTCATGATGGACGCTTGCCCTAAATATCTGGTGATTGTTGGCTGTGTGAAGCACTAAAGCTAAATGGGCGGAGCTCCTTATGGCTTCATTGAAGGAGAATTGGAAAGAGAGCTGGGTTCTTCATGGGTTGCCCCACAGGAGGCCCCTCTAGGCTCCTGCCCGGTGTCTGTGTGCCTGGCATTCTGGGAGCTGTGCAGAAGGGGCCGTGGGTTCTCGTGGGTCAGTTTGCAGACTTTGACTTAGTCTCCCTGTTTTCAGGCTGGTTTCTCAGCACTGGCCTCTGCTTGCCTACTTTACCCAAGTTCAGAGCCTTAGGTGTTTTAACTTTCTATTTTCTTCCAGAGCTGGGGAGGGAGTAGTTTCTTGGCTTTGCAGGATGGGATGGGGACCTGGGAGTTCAATTGCTCTCTATATGGACTTTCG